TTGCGATATTTTGCTTGTTTTGCTAAGAGCATTTGACCTTAGGAGCTCCTCAACGAATACCTGTCTGCACATGAGGGCCAGTCGCTCTTTCAGCTGTCCCAGCTCTGACCTCTGTCTCTCTATCTCGCCCTCTCTCTGCCGGTCAATTTCGCCGTCGTCCAGGATGGAGGACGGTCCGTTGGGAAGCCTCTGAAAGAAAAGATTTACTGTATTTAATATAAAAAGGATAAATTATGATTACTAAGAATAAAACTTCCAGAGTTTATGGGTTTTCCGGGGATTTTGCTGTCGTGTTTCTTTTCCTTTAAAGCAAAGATTTCCGGCCCAGGAAGCAAAATTTAAGAACTTAAATATGAACTCTGCAACATTTAATTGCAGTGGAGCAAAAAGTTGTATCTGCAGAAATGTAAGATAAAAATTATAATGCAATATGTTTCATTTCTATATGTTAAAAGTAACATTATTGTAACATCTGAAACCAGAGGACTGTCTTGTGCCACAGTGGTTTAAAAACGTGTGAAATACTCAATTTTTTTAAAATTCTATTAAATTGCCCAGGTTTAAAAAATGTATATATATTGTCGGGCTGGTCTGGTTATTGAATGAGAGGTGCATGTGAATGTGCAGGTTTTACAATGTGTTCATCTTTCAAAGTGGGAGCAGGGATTTTACACAGTTTTTCTCTTTCTGTTAAGCTTTTGTACATAAAAAAAGAAACAACATTTTGAGTACGTTTTCTTCGTTAACACTGTGAAATGCACAGTTTTTAAGCAATTAAGAAACCCTGTTGCAGATAGGGGGTGGGTTATATGATAATTCATCCAATTGTGACCGTTTCACACTATTTGATAATCAGTACACTTCAACACAACACACACATCATATTGTGATATCTATGTAACCAAGGAACATAACATGTTGATAAAAACATCTCAAGCCACCATCAATTGAATGAATTAGCTCACTGGTTTGACATGCAGAGATGGATGGGATTCAAACTTCTTGCTTTGAGGCATCGGTGCTAACCACCAGTGCATAACTTCCTCCTTGAAGAATGACTGAAATGCTGCTTAACGGGAATAAACTGACACTGATGTAAGCTATATGATACTTGTACTGATCTAAGAATAAACTGTATACAGTTACTGCAATAACTGCAGCAGCTTTTGGCAATCAGCGGCACCTGATCAACACTCCAGCTGCAGAGTGAGGAAAGATTTATGCAGCTTTAAACAGCAGCTGCTTTTATTTTTTTGTACCCTGACTTTAAGATCTACGTATGCAGTCTGAGGAAAAATAGCAAAAGATAGCAAAACATGATTAAACGCTTTATTGTTAATGTTAAAAAGTTACTTGTATAACAATGAGTGTTTCTCTGATATTAAACTACAAGTGTTGAAGTCAGAGCTTTGCTTTGCAGACCCGCGTACACACTATGGACCACTCCTGCTCGTGTTTGTGCTGCGCCTCGGAAAGTAAGGAAGCCACAACAGTCAAACGGCCTCGT